CCTGGTTGAACAGCTCTGAAGTAATAATTATTTATGCACTTCCAGAGCTATCGTGTACAGAGCATAGTTCTCCAGGACAATAAAACATTAATTTAAAAATAATAACATTTAAGTATGAAGAACATTAAACTCAACAGCATCTGCCATGTTGTGCCCCAAGCTTAAATTTCAGCAGGTCTAAGGACATGACGACCTTCTCAGAAGCTCAGCAAGTCTTAAGTTTGCACCTAAATTTTGACCAGGTCCCAGGTGAGTAGGGTGCTTGTAGGTGCTCAAGAACAGCAGGAAGGGTTTGGGCAGAAAGCACAGGGGCCAGATTCCCACCATGTCATGATGCTCATTGGTGCTGGGGTTGCTTTTATTCACTGAGCATTGACAGATAACCTATGTTTTATAAGCTAATCCCTGGAACCAGCAGCACCCTACCACTTAGTTGCTTCCATTATGCTGAGCTTTCCTGGCAGAAGGGAGACTGTCTGCTCTCCAAAAGTTGTCGTTCTTCACTAAAGGTCATCCCTGCAACCTTCACCCATCCCTGTTCTGCCTGGTGTCACCAAGAGAGACTGACACACTGACACACCAGCTGAATTGTCTGTACAGGTTTTTGAGTATTCACCCAAGGCTTACAGCTTCCTCCCCTCTCTAAGAGCATCATTGCCTCAGGAGCTGGAGAAGTGTTGCTGTTGACAAATGTTGTGTTAATGCACGAGGATGTGCACCCGTTCCTCATCACTGCGTGGAGCCCTGGGGATAAGTTTGGAAACGATGGAGAAACCTAGTGATGAGCTTCTCTGAGGCAATTACAAATGTAATGGGGAAGGGAATGAGGTAAGCAGTGAAAATCAAGGTGAAATTTCACGACTGACTGAAGCTGAACTAACTGTGGGAACTTGCTGAAGCTGTCCCATCCTCTACTCCCAGGTGCACAGATTTTACCATTTTCTTCACCCAATATTACCACGTGATGCAAACTGAACTGTTTTTTTGGGGTATATGGGGTTAGTTTTCAGGTGTAGCAGTGAGCTAAAGTCAGAGGGAGATGGCTGCTTTTGATCAGAAGGAGTGGAGTTGTAGGACTGCCAAACTGCAGTGTACGAGTGAAGGTACAACGTGTGTGACAGCAGGATGCAGATGCACAGGTGCCAGCTCAAACACCTCCTGGACAGAACTGATTCAGGCCCTGATGGATCACTTGTGATTTTCTTTCATCTGTTCAAATGTTTGAACAGATTTGTTAAATTTTGCTTCTGTTTGACCTATTAATGGGAAATTAGGAGGTACAGAGAACAGCCCTGTGCCAACGCTAATGAAGCTCTGTGCCATGGATAGAAAATAGAGCAATGCCTTAGGGGCTAAACTGGGCTTCCAGTTTAGATCTGTTGCTTCCTAAGCTCCAGATTTGCAAGGAGTAAGTCACTTTTTTTCTTTTGTTCTTTACTTTTTTTTTTTTTTTTTTTTTTTTTTTTTTTTTTTTTTTTTTTTTTTTTTCCCCAATATGACTTCTGGAGGATATACCTGCAGCCTTTGCCTCTTCTATCTCAAACACATGGTGGGCATTATCAATGTGTTAAGCAGGTTGCTAGGTGTGCTTCTCCTCCTTCCTTCCCCCTTGTATCAGCTTCTTTCTCACCTTGCTGGCGTGGCTGGAACCAGATGCTGACACAGGATTTTAATGGGTGAAGAAATAGTACTGAAGTGATGTAAACTCTTGCTTTGATACAGAAGGCACTGATAGCCCTGAGAGGTGGGGTCTGGATGTATGTTTTTACTCTCATAGCCTGCTGCATGTGGCTATGAAACACCCCGCTCTGATTGTTACTGAAGGAGCTCATGTTTATTTCAGAGACGTGCAGTGCTTCTTGGTGGTGCCAGCCTTTAAGTTACATCAGCGTTACAGTGCTCCTGCTCCCTCAAGGAGTGTGGAAAGTCCACATGAATGTGCTCAGTCTACCAGCAGGACGATGCTGGAGGTTTCAGTCAGCTCTCCATGCATGTAGGCTGCTGAGGCGAGACACCGAAGTGGCAAAGGCAGGCAGAGGCATCTGCTGCAGCCACTCGTTCGGTGCTGGTGTCCCTGACCCATACAGAGGGTGAGGTGGCAAACTGCACGTTAGAGCTCTTGCTGCTAAAACATCCAGAGTCCTGGTCATGGCAAAGCCCTCCTGAGAGGGTCAGGAATGAGGACACAGCTGTGCTGACTCTGCTTGCTGTGCTCCCCTGTGGCCCACCAATCCATCTGTCCTGCTCTCCCAGGGCTTCCTTAAGCAGTGTGTAGTGCGTGGCTGAATTTCTGGAGAGTGGCCACCTCTGTAAGTTGGCAGAAAATGATTCACTGTCTTTTTTTTTTTTCCCCATGTTGATTTTTTTTTTTTGACAGTTTTAAAAAACTAAAGCTTCTTAAACCTTTATAACCTTGGATAAAGTAAGAGGTCAAACCAATGCCAAGCCAAGGAGGCAGCAGAAATGTGCCAGCAGGACAAGGGGATGTGTGGCCACTGCCCCTTTTGATCAGGTCTCCCCTGCCCCAGTCCTTCAGTGCTTGTAACACTGCAGGTTGGGTGCATGGAGCTGTGTGACACCCAAGCTGCTCTGCTGCAGTGGGGAAATGTTGGCTTCACAGTGCTCATAAGCAACTGGAAGAATTGGATATTTGGTATTAGCCTCTGGGGACTTCTATGGTTGCACCATCAAGAGAAATTAAGTTCTGGGAAAAGATATTTTTAAGCACCTGTGTGGAAAGGATGGAGTTGTTCCAGATTGCAAACAGCCACTTTCCCATTGTGCTCCCCGAGATGAAACAACCCCGGAGTCATCCTGCTTTTTGCTCATCACCATTCAGTTTGGTGGATTATTTTAGTTAAACGTAATTCCTGCAGCATCTCAAGTGGTAGCTGGAAAACTTTCCATGCAACTTCACCAGGTCACTTAGAAAAACACATCCTGCCTGTTGCGTTTTGCTGAGGAAGTTGTGTCACTCAGGTAGGTGTGAAGGGAGCCAGAAAACAGTTTGTGTGTGTTTGTGCAGAGCAGGACAAGGTGGCTGATCACTTGGATTCCCCGTTCAGGCTGTGCTTGGGGAAGGCTCTGACTGTCCCAATGATCAAAGATATTCATTCATACAGACTGCTGCCTGGCTGCAGTCTGCTAATGGTGGTGTCTGGCCAGGGAATTCCAGCTATTAGCAGCTGTAATATATGGGCAGTTTTACTTAAGAAACCTGAAGCTGGAAATTCTTAGGAATTGCTTTTTGACCTCGAAGGCATTTGGCTGTCTGGAGGATTGGCTGGAAAGGGCATCACCTGTAGACAAGGCCAGGAGCTACTTGTGTCTCATGCTGGTTGCTCTCATGGATTTGGGCATTTCTGTAGCAAACTAGGATGAATATCACTTCATAGGACTGATATTCACCTTTGCTTTTTGGCTTCCTCATACCCCAGGGCTGGGGTGTGGTGCAAGATCAGGAGCTGTGGGGTCTGCAGAGCACAAGAACTTCTTCGCTTCTGCATCACATTCACGTCCTCTTTGTTTCTGCATTTCAGTGGTTTTATGTACATCCACTTGCCTGGGGACTTGTCGTTTTATTTGTAATCTATTGTTTTAATTATTTTCTGTGAAGGTGCCCAAAGACCTTGGGGCATTGAGACACACATACTTTATTTTATTCATTAATTATTCATTATTGCTAACTACTTGCTACAACATAGTCAGCTGCACCAATGTGTCTGTGTGAACCCTCTCCTGTGGTAGCAGGGTAGCTGCTTTATTAGCCTGACTTTCCTTGGTTGGTGGTCAGACTGCTAAAATAATTGGGATGGAAAATATTTAATGTGGCCAATAGCTTTTTTTTTTCCTGATGTGAATCTAAAAACTAACCTAAAATTCATCAGATGGCATATAGGCTCCTTAAGCAACATCTGAGGATCCCAATCTGTTGCTGATTTGTCCCAAAATTGCTAGGAGAAAGATTTACAACATGGGTAAAAGGGCTTAAACTGCCTGACTGCTCCCCCTCATGAAATGTGTCCTCCTCTCTCTGCAGTTTCAACCAGGTCTGAAACTTCTCCAGTTACCTCTGTAGTTCAGTGCACTGGTAGTATTCTTCCTTGCATTTTATTTTAAACACAGAAATAAACACAGAAATGTTAAAAATATAAATAACCCTGAGCTGACATGATTTCCCCTTCCTAGCTGACTGCTTTGTGCACCAGGATACGGTCACATTTTGTCTGCAATCAAGACTGGTGCTACAGAGCTAAGTTCAATGATGGTCGTTTTGAAGAGATACTTAGTCTCAGTTCTTTGTATGCTTTTACTCATTTCTTGTTCCTCTGCAATCTGACTTCCACCATTTGCCTGCACTGATTGCTATAAAAGACAGGCCTGCCATGAACCTGCAGATGCCATCCCGACTTATTTCCATGGCAGGAGAAGCATGTACCTGGCCAAAGCACAGTGACCTCAGCCTGCCTTCCTCCCTAACACTGCAGTTCATCCCACCCCTCGGTATCAGGGCGTATATGGGGTTTTAAATGTATTTTTAGCGTGTGGTAGAGGTCTGAGCTACAGCCCAGGAGGGAGCTGTGGTCCTCTTGCCAATGCCCTGCAGCATGTGTGGCTGTAGGTCAAGCCAGATGCCATCACTTGGGGCTCCTTGTGCAGGTGCTGCTGGAGGACACCTTGCTTTGGAGCTGGTTAAATACAGCTCTGATGAGCAACAGCTTTAAACAAGGTCCTTTGAAGCCTCAGGGAAATTTTAACAGGCTGTGTGAAATTTGTTTTGGGGTTTGGTTCAAAATAACTAATAACTGCTGAACATTTTATGTTTGGCTGGAGGGGAAAAGCTCTTAATTAGTTAATTGATTAGTAATGGGTCAGAGAGAGGTTGAAATTTCTCAAGTGGACTGACGAGGCTAGAATTTTTCCAGGAATGGGAGGACAGGATTGCAGGTGGAGGAGAGCTGTGTGAAATATCTAGTGACACCGTTTTGTCCTCCCAAAAGAGTGTCTTTTCAGAGACAGCTCCAGCCCCTGAACTGGAGTGTGCGCCTCTGGAAATAAAGCTCCCCTGCACAGGAAAATCGATGCAGGCTGCTGGGTATTGGTGTGATGAGCAGGTCCCATGGGACCGACAGGAGAATGTTTTTAGTGTGTTGAGGATGTTTCTGGGAGCTCTGAGAAAATCCTCTTTGGCTTCATGGACTCATCAAAAAATCCCCCTGGGAGTCTCTGGTCACCATGACTGTCTGTTCAAGAGATTTCTGCATCTGGTTGATTAGCATGTTGGATTGCTCCAGTAATCAAGGAAATTAAGTCTTTAGTGTTACGGACAGATTTTCTGACAGTCCTGGAGAGGGCTGGGAGGAAGCTTGGGTGAAAAATCCCAGCACTGGAAGGGTAAATCAAGCACTTGGCATTGTCGTCAGCTGTTTAATGGAAGACAGCTCAATCTCTGGCTCAATCAATCCCTATAGATTGAACCCATAGCTATTATCAACTTTTCCTACGTCCTTTCTGCTTGTAATTTTAACTCCAGCTCTCAATTATTTTAAATGAAAGGCACAGTAGTGCTGTAGAGGAAGGAAACAAAGCTTCCCCAACATGTTTTTTGAGCACACTTTTCTCTGCACGGAGCTTAACTTCTGCCAGTTGTCTGCACAGGTTGGTACCTTGAGTTTATACCTCTCTTGGTGCCTCGTTGCTGTTGTTGAGCAGCCCCAGTGCAATGCAGCCGGCAGTACCTGTCTGTGCTCCTCAGTAGTTACACACCCGTGTTGTAAACACTTTAAAGAAAATGCTCTTGGGAGAGCACAGCCCATTGCACACAGTTGTGAGAGTCTCTAGCAGGATTGCATACATTAAATGGTTAGCATCTCAGATGTTTTTCAGCGTAATTTTCCCTCTGTTGCTCTCTCTGGTACTCCCACTGCTCTTGCTGCTCCTGGACTGAAGGAAAGGACTGGAGTGAAAGCAGGACTTGTGTGTTTTCATGGCCTCTTGCTGATCTGTCTGGAGATGTCTAGCAAGCAAGGCAAGAAAATGCTGGAAAAGTGACCGTCAGTGCTCTTGAACTTGCCAGCAGCTTTGGTGCCATGCTCTAAGAGGACCCCAACAGCCTATGTCAGTGAGCGCCCAGCGCTGCCGCGGCTGCTGGGAGGAGCTGGGCTGAAGAACGGCAGAAACAGCCTGGCCAACCTGAGCTCCACACTTGGCTGCAGGCACTCAGCGAGTATTTTTAGCTTTCACACGCTCCCCAGCACCGAGGTGTTAATTTTGCAGCACCCCGGGCTGCGGCCTACAACTGTCTGTCTCGCGCAGCCCTGCTGTCTGCGTAGCGTCAGGCCCGGGCACAAAGCCAAAGGCTGGAGGCATTGGATATGGCAGCGACAGGAGCATCCCATGCCAAAGCCACCTCCTAGGCCTGGGTTAATAGAAAACAGCTCAAATGCTTGCTCAGTTTGAGAAAAGAAATGTCAACATGTCCTGGCTACCGAAGGCCTTAGCGTGTAATTGTGTAGAGACTAAAACAGCAGAAAGTGATAAACTCTGAGAGTGTCTCAGCATTTATGGGAACGAATACCCCATACATTATCATGTGATGTTATCGTATAAATTATCACCTTCTCTATACCTCCCGCTTGTCCTATAGCCCTTCCTAACGCTGCTCCTGGCTGTGCAAGGAGCAATGAGGAACCCGGTACTTCACATTGCGCCTCACGCAACAGAAGTGCAACATTATTCTGACAGCTGTTCTGCTTGGGGCCCTGGTGCCTGGAGCACATCCAAAGCTGTCTGCCCCGCACCTGCAAGACGAGCAGAGCTAATCTGACACTGCATCTGCCTGCTCTGACCAGTGCTCCTCGGAAACACAGCAATGGCTCAGACCGACATCTGTAGAAACTGGATTTCACAAGGCTTGCTGCCACGTACACGTCAGTCCGTGCTCAAAGGAAAGAGAGAAACACGAGTGTGAAAGGATCCTACCTTTGATGCACAGTTGCCATAGTGAAAACAAACTCCTTCAGCGCAAAGGGTGCGACAAGGTAAAAGTTTGCTCTTAAAGCAAGTGGGTTGATTATGTGGAAATAATGGAGGGAAGAGCCGCAGGGAAGGAAAACAATCCTTTAGAAATTTCATCATGGAACATGTGGGACAAAGGAGCCATTGAAAGAGGCTTTAACACATCGCAGTGATGGTGCTTTCAACAGGTCTTGCCGAAGTCTGAAACCATAAGCTTTCAAGCATAACGTGCTAATGATGGAGATGGGGCATCATCCGCAGAAATGCTGAAAAACAGAATTTCTCTCCGAATCCTCCCTGTCTTAGACTGTCAAGAACATATATATGTGTATACAGTACGTGTTCAACACCAGAAGTATCAGCAGAAAGACTTTACCAAGGAATAAAGAACTTTGTAGACAGAAACTTGAAGGTATAACACGCAAGCAAATTCTCTTTGCTGCCTGTTGCAATCTTCTAATGAGCAAAAAAAGGAACAGAAAGCTAACAGCTTTTTGCCAGCAGGTCATCTTCAAATGTGTAATTGGTACCAAATTGTGATGCTACCAAAGCTAACAAAAATTGTAACTGATGATCAGAAAACAGCATTTTCTGAACACACAGAGAGAAGTTTTTCTCCCTGGTTTTATAGACCCTGTTAAGTTAATTTAGCTGACCCTGCGGGGAAGAGATAAGTGCTACAGCAGCTTAAAACTATCCTGCTCCCTAAGTGCCTGCAGCTGCTCCCCACGGTCCCCTCCTATCACTGCCTCAGAGCTGTTTTGATGCCAGGCATATATATATATATTTTTTTTCTCTCCTGTATTAAGGTGTTTTTTAATCTCTCTATTTGCCACAATATGCAGGTGGAGTCCCTGACCTGTGGGAACTAGTCCGCAAGGATCATGTGCCCTGTCTGTGATCACAAGGTCGCTTTATGCAGCACAGGGCAGACCCTGGGGCTTCTACTCAGATTTTCTTGACTGTCATTTTAAGCTAAAGATCTCCTTTAGACAAACTGTCTGTAATTATGGCTGTATTAGTGTTTATGCCATTCTCCCAGCAACCATCTCATTTCCAGGTCCCAACATTTCACCTTCTTTTGCCTTGGACAAGCTCAGAGCAGGCCTAGGTGGGATGCTGTGACTTGACCCAACTCCGACTGAAGTCAATGCAACTTCTCTCTCTTTCTTCCCATTCATTTAACATCCATCAGGGTAGGGTTTTACAGATGGGGACAATGTTTGCAGTAGTGTTATAGCATGGCAAATAAACACCAATGGCCACTATATCTGTAGAAAAGAGATTTGTCCCACTGAGCTCACCATGCGGGGCAAAGGTAGTCAGAGCACATTGAAAAGACACCAAAAGTAAGGACCCAAAGGTAAGAACAATAAGCAAGAAAGTCTGCTCCACATATACATGAGAATTTTTTGACCCAAACCAACACGTTGTTTAGATAATGGAAATTATTTAACAAAACAGTATCTGGGGATTTTTAGCTGGTGCAGATGAAAGGCGCTCATCCTTCCCTCCCTGCTGTTTGTCAGTCTCCAGCTTCTCACCTCATGGTGGCACGACTCAAAAGTGGGCTTTTATCTGAGGGAATGAAATTTAGCAAAAAAAAATATATTTTTTATAAAAGCAATCTGCTCCCTGAGAGTGGGGTGGGAAACATTACAGCTGCAGTATTTAATATAATTTAAAAGCTGATTACCCTGCATGTGGAATAACTGCTTTTCATAAGGCTTTCTACTATGTATGGTACGCACCCTAATTCGTATTAACGGCTCCTAAGGAGCCATCATAGTTTATCAAGAAAGTAATATGCATTTTAAACGCACTCAAATAGAGATTTACATGATAAACTTAATGACTCCAGAATGTGTTATTAGCTATCGTACACTCCCAGAAGCAGTCACTCACTTCTGGCAAATTAGATAATTCAAGAAGCCCATAGAAAACTTCAGCCCAGAATGGAGCTGTTGCTCAGCCACTCGATGGGATTTATTTCACGCATAAAGGGGTATTTTCCACCTCCACCTTGTTATGGAAAGCAGCAATTTTGTGGACAGGAACATTGCTATGAATCCCTTCTAAAGAAAACACACCATTAAATGTTAAAGCTCATTATTTATTTTAAAATGGTCTTATATTTCTTGCAATATTTCCTTGCAATTGTCCTGTCAGCCCGATGCTAAGTAAGATATCAGTATAAACCAGTTGCACAATATCTGTGAAATATTGCTGGAAGATAATAACGTTGCTGAGATGATGTTTTTTAAATCATGCCAAGAGCCAGATGCTAAATTAAGTGATAGTTTCCGTAAGGCCAATGGAAAAATTAATACCGTGAAGAACTGGGGCTAGCAACTGCATTTCCCCCAGCAAGATGAGATCAAAGTAACTGTGAATACGAAAATTCAATGACTCCTAATTGTGCTGAAGATTAGGACCCCCATGACACGAAGACTTGCATGGAACAAGAGAAAATACATCCTAGGGAAAAACTGCATGCTCCAAGTAAAAGGATTAACTGACCTTTCTACGTCCTAGTCCTGATAGTTTGACTTTAAATATACTTCTTACTGAGACTGGCCATGTCCTTAACAGTGAGTGGTGATTTACATTTTTTACCACTGAATTCCGAACTGACATTTTCATGCTGTCAGTTCTCCACTTTTCAGCTATCCCATATTTGCAATTATTCTTATGGGAAAATAATGGTGGAGCACAGCCCGTTAGTGTGCCAGATTTGCCCCTGCCTCTGCATGGGTGAGGAGACGCAGTCAGCCCAAAAAGGGAGGAGAGCACTCAGGGCCCCGGCTCATCCTGTGCATCACCATGCAGTCAGTGCACTGCCTAGCTGCTTTATTTTTTTGTTGCAAGATTATAAGTCTTTACCTTATCTTGAGTGGCATGGTCAGTGTCCACTCACCTTTGCAGGGCGTGTGCTACAGAAGATTGTGGCTTGCTGCAGTCAGGGGAAGGATGTAATGAGGGAAATGAGACTGAAGAGGAGAAGCGTTTTACCGAACTGACCTGCACCATACCTGCACCTCAGACTGGTACGGCAGAGCAGAAAAGTGCCCATGAGTTTGAATTATGGCTGAGCAGGGCAAAGCAGGAGCAGTGTCATGGGCAGGTGGGGCTGGTTGTGTGGGAGCGATGTGCTGCAAGCACCTGGCAGTAAGTGCAGGGCTTGTGTTACCCAGAACTCGTTATCCACCGGCCTGCAGAGTAATTAGTATGGCAAAATCCCATAGAGCAGGTTAGCGCAGAAGCAAAGAGCACCGGGGGTGGACTTGATGGACTGTCCTTGCAGTCTACAACCTGGCTCGGGAGGCGCTCCCCACCGTGTCTGCCATGGGGCCAGAGAATTAAAAGGAGGAATGAAAATACACCGAGTGTAGCCAGGCTGAGCAAGCATCACCAGCTGGGTGAGGAGCCAGCAGGAAAACACTCTCTTGGCTAGCTCCCACCTTGATGGTCCTCTGAGCTGTTGTGTTTTTTTAAAAGCTTTTTAAAGGGAAAACCAGAACAGACTTATTTTACCTTGGTGCTGCACCATCACTGCAAGCATGTTTAAATAACATCTCCCAGAGCATGAGCTAAGACAGGGAGCAGCAGTGAGTGCGTTCAGAGGTGGGGTATTTGGGTATTTGCTTGGAAGCCTTGCTGTTTTTAAAGTGCTGTGCAGACGGGACTGAAGGAGCAGGGTTAGGTGGCTGCCTTTGAGGAAAGGGATTGTGCCCTTTCTGTTTAAAAACAAGGCAACTTTGGGGGGTTTTGTGTTTGTTGTGTAGGGTGGTGATACCTGAGCTACTGCATCTGGGTCTACCCAGGCTGCATTTAGGCCATGCACAAGGCAGGAGCCCTGGCTCATCCCCAGCTGCCCCAAGCTCATTACCTGTTTGCAGAAAGGCTAAATGTTCATGAATGCAGGCAAATCTGAAAAACTGGGCTGCCTCCAAGTGAGCCGCAGCTGCCTTTTGTGTAAATGACACACAGCTTGGTCTTGTGTTGGGGTTGGAAAGGAGGAGGTTTGGGAAGCGCTGCAGTATCTGAGGTCTGGGCAATGTGACTGGGAGCTGGGCTTGCCTTCCCTCTGTCCTTGCCTCATTGTAATCTTATCTTAGATCTCACTGGTTTGATAAACTCTGTAAAGACGCATTTAAAAATAATGTTATTTCCATGTAGGTTCCTCTTCCCAGAGCTCCTTCAGCTGCCTCACTCTGTTGATCCCATCTTGAGCATTATGTGAGTTTCTGGCAGGTGTAATTGGAAAAACAAACAAACAAAAGGGACCATAAAGTGTTCCTGTAGGAACACCAGGAAGTTTTCCTTCCTTACCCCAAAGCTAAACTTTTATTTTTGGGCTTGAATTTTAGGTGTGTTTGGGATCTGTTGACACAAAACGTAGGGTTTAGTTGTGACAGGATGAAAGCAAATCTGGCTTTATTGATTCTCCTTCCCATTTAAGTGATCACAGACGCGGCGGCCGTAGCACAAAGGCTGAGACGTGCTCACTTCACCTTAGGTGTTTACTTATGCCAGCCTAGGTCAGACTTTGAAATGAATTTTCTGCAAATTTGTTTGTATGAAGTTTGGCACAAAGCAAATTTGAAACTTGGCACAGCAGCGGTGAAGGGGAAACCATTCAGAAATGCAGAGCAAGGAGCCTGGCAGCATTTCAGCGCTATTTACCTTCAGCTGGAAACCTCACTTGTAAATACCAGAGCTAGTCAAAGGCACACCGTGCTCCTCTCTCCTCTCCTCCTTCACTAACTTAGTTGTCAGTAACTGCCAGGCCGATGGGCTTGTGTTATCCCCCAACGTCTGTCACAAAAAATTGTGTTACTGAAGTAGGTAAGCAACCGGCTCGGTGTGGGAATGCAATTCCTGAGATGGAGGGGCCATTTCTGTGGGTTACGTGAATGCTCTGATTAATGATACTTAGCACTAATAAATTGGATTTTGGAGCAGTCATAAAAATTCATGCTTCAGGGCTTAATCTCTGTCAGGATGAGACCTTCGTTGGCATAGATCATCCTGTGTTTATCAATTAAGGAATTTCTGGTTCCTCCCTCAGGAGTCTGCTGCTGGCTGGCTTTGGGGACAGGGCTGTCCCCAGGCAGAGGTGGCAGCTCTCATGCCAGGCTTGGTGACCAGGGGGCATAATTCCACCACTGTAGGCGTAAAGGATATTGAATGGGGTTTATCCTTTGTGCTGGGAGACTGACTGCTGACTTTGGTATAGGCTTCCTCTGTGTTTTTGGACAATGCACATAATTTTCTGTGCCTCTGCTTTCACATAAGAGAATACCACTTTCCCCTGCCTTTTCAGTCCAAACACCAACTCTCTGCTGGGGAGGAATCTGCTCTTGCTATGGGCTTGTGCAGCAAGTGCCTGGTACCATACAACCATGGAGCATTGACTGAATTTGAGGATTTTGATTTTTAGCTGTGATGCTGTTGCCACTCTCGGTGATAAGGATGACAGCTGCAGCTTTGCATTTTCTGAAGTTTATTGGTTTTCACATTTTGTTTTTATGTTTCATTTTCTTGCAGTAAAAGCTACTTTTCACGCATAATAGCCTGTTTATTCGGTTTTTAAATTGTGAGGCTGGCAAGTAAAGACAGCCAGGAGTTAGCAGAAGGTGAAGTAATTTCACAATATCACTAGAATCTGAATGAAGAAATCAGGGTTAATTTATGATAAAATACTTTCTTTGCAACACATGTTTTGTCCTATTCATCCAAATTTAGTGAAAAAGATAGCACAGAGCAAGACACGTCTGAAATCTCTGGAGCTGGGAAGGTGCTGTCATATATAATTTGTAACTGTTTTCTCATGTCTGGAAATAAGTTAGAGATGAAAAAGATGAGTTAGAGGAGAGGAACTCTCTTTGGATCAGCAATGTTTCATAGTTATGTGCATGTGAAAGCCAGAAATATCACACATAATATTACACATGAGAGGGGATGGGGAAAAAAAATACTGTCCAGGGAAATGCGTATCTGAGAATTTGAGCTGCAGATACTGCTTTGGAAAGGGCAGATGTGCTTCTGTAGTTACTATGAAACCTCATGAATGAAAATGTTCTTCTGGATTTATGATTTTATACAGTGCAATTCAATGGCAGGCAACAAGCTCTTTCAGAGAAGAGATGATGGCCTGGTTCCAGGGATGCTGTAAATACAGCCTTCCCCCCACCAGAAAAAAATATTCTGACCAAAAGAGCCAAAAAGCAGCATGGTCTGTAGTTACCCCTCCACCTTGCTCTTCCCCAGCCAGACCAGCACTGCTGTGCTCCTGCCCACCCCAGGATATTAGCCACTGCACAGCCAGCCTCAGCTAGCCACAGAATAAACATTCGGTTCCTGCGATGTGGCAGCCCATTTGCAGCTGCTGCTGTCCCAGTCCCTCATCACTCCCTGCTGCTCACACCGAACAGTTCAGAAATACGAGTGAGGCCTCCAGGAAAGCGAGGCAGCTGGGGAGAAGGTGTGTGTGTGTGTCTCACTGCTGGGCTCTTTGCCCTGTCCTTACCCGAGGAAGGCCAAGGGGGCTCTGTGCTAGCTCCTAGGCAGCCCGTGATGCTGGGGACCAGCAGCATGACAGAGGAAGGGTCCAGGAAAGCTGGCCAGAGGTTATTGCTTTTGTACATACAGTATTTCATTCAGAGCCCATGTGTTTTTGCATGTGGCACGTTGCTGGGATTGGGGAGGACAGAGTGGCTGGCAGGACGTTGCCAGTGGCATGGCAAACACGGCCAGCTAAGTGCTGTCCTGCTCCATGCTGTGCCCTTCTGAGACACTGCAAAAAACATATCCAGGTGCAAATCTTGCACAGCAAATGTGCATACATTCAGGGTTTTAATTCCTCCTTAAAGTATGCACTCGGAGCTGCCAGACTGCAGTAGATTTGACACAGAGATGGGAGAAGTATGGGGCATTGGGGGTGACACCAAACACTGGTTGTCCTCCTGTGGGAGGGCTCCATCTGCCTTGGGGACTGAACTCAGCCGGGGGTCTGGCAGTGGGTCACACCGTGGTGAGATGCTGATGGGCTCCAGCGCTGCTGGGATCATGTCTCAGCAGGGTCCCTTCTGCATGGGACCCTCCCCAGGAGCTCTCTGTAAAGCCACCCAACATGTTCAGGAGGGTGGCAGCAACAAGTTCTACAGGATCTGATGTCTCACACCAGTGTCGTGTTCATGTGCTGCCCCTGAAGGCAGGTAATTGCTCTTGATGGCTGCGTGTTTGTCCACCACCTGGCACAACCTGAGGCTTTCAGCAGCTACCGTGTCACACGCATCAATAATAAATATACCAATTAGATGCGATTAGTTTGGGAACTACTTTCTTTTTTTTTCTTTTACAAACTCTCTAACCTGTAAGATATGACACCTGTGAGTTGTTTTATGGGGGCATGCTGAAAATGAAAGATAAATTGCCTTGTTTTCCATTTCCCATGGAAATCTGGAGGAACTCTTGATGCCAAGGTGCTTTGAAAATCCAGCCCTTAATTTTGGCAGTGTTCTTTGAAGACAAAGTGATGGTGTTGGTGGTATTTGCAGCTTTTGGCAGATCCCAAATTTGTGATACTGTTTTTCTATCTCCCATCAGCCAACATAAGGCGGTACACAACCATACCATAATGAAAAGAAGAGCAAGTGGCTTTGTCAGACCTCTGATGAAACGTTTGTATTTGATTTTGTCTCACCTTTAAGACAAGA